CCCTTTATTCTCTTCAAAGTGTCTTTTGCAGAACGAAGCTTGTATATATGTTCTTTTTTGGATTGGTCTTCTGGTGTCACATTGAAGACTTCCTTCCTTAACCCCAGTCACAAAGGTTTTCTCTTGTATTTTATTCTAAAAGTTTTGCATTTTACATTTAGGCTCATTTTGATCAAACTTTTATAGAGTGTACAAACCACATCAAAGTATTCCTCCATCTGAGAATGGCTTTATTTCACCTATATTCTTGAAGAGTATTTTCACTGGATATAGACTTCTCATCAATAGTTCTTTCTTTCAGTATTAAGAGGTTCTGCTCCTATTATGGCTTGCCTCTAGATGTTCCCCCAAAGGCTGATGCAGTCACGGAGAAGGCTAACTTCTGAAAAAGAGATGGCTGGACTTAGTGTGGTGCTGGGATGAAGGTGTGTGACTACTCAATCATTCCACTTACTGCTTTGGCATAGTTCTGGCTAGCATTGAGGGTTCTAGTGCTTCACTGCTCTAGGGCAAGTAGCCTTCATAAAATGTAAGGGACATAAACAGGACTAATGTGCTCCTATGTGCCTGCTTGCTGTGGACTGTTTCTCCTCTATGGTGCCCCTCTGCCGTGCCATGCCATGGCCTTGGAGCCAGCCGACTATGGACTGAAACCTCTACAAACTGTGAGCTAAATAAACCTTTCCTCCTTTAACTTTGGGTGTCGGGTATTTTGTCTCAGAAATGAGAAAAGTAGCTAAGACAGCTCCCCAGCTTTCTGGCCTCTGTGTTTTCTAATGAGAAACCTGCTGTCTTTGGAGTCTGTTCTACCTATATGTTCTTCTGGGTGCTCCAGGATCTTTTTCTTTGCCTTCAGTCTTCAGCACCATGATTGGTGTGCCCACTAAGCTTAACTGTAAACTTGACTGGCTTGGGAGTAGTGAAGCACAGTATACTTGGGTGGCTCATGGAGATATCACTTTGGGAATTATGTCAGGTCCCTAGACTCTTCTCAGGCATTGTTCCCTGCTGTTTCCCAGATGCTGTGAATTGAACAGCTTTGCTCCACCATACCCTTCTGCCACGATGGTGCCTTGGAGTCAACCAACCATGGACTGAGTCCTAGAGACAAATTAAATCTCTCCACCTTTAAATTATGGGTGCCAGATATGTCTCAGGAGAAGGAATGAATGCTGACTAATGCCACTGTGATGAGTTTGAGCACAGGATTCTTTTATCTTGTTTCAAGCTCATATCTGATAGTTTGTCTTTGCCAAAATTGGAGAATATTTATCTATCTTCCTCCCAACACCATTCCTACACCATTCTCTTTCTCTCTGTTGACAGCTCTGAAGATGCAAATGTTAGATTTGATTTGATTCTCAGTTACCTACGTCTCACTTCATTTGTGTTCATCTTTTCCTGCATTTTTGCTCAGGTTAGATAATGTCTACTGATCTATTCTCAAATTTGTTTCATCGCCATTTTGCTCATGAGACCATCCAGTGAATTTTTCTTTGGTTTATTACATGTTTTCATTTCTAAAAATTCTATTCTTTTTACATTTTATTTACTTTTCAATCAACATTTTATTTTTAAAGTTATACACACACACACACATACACACCTCCACCCACTCCCACAGTTTCCACTAGTTTCCACTATTATTAGCATCTGGCATTAGTGTGGTTTATTTGTTACAATTAATGAGCCAATATTGACACATTATTAGCAACCAGAACCCACAGTTTTCATTAAGGCTCATTCTTTGTGGTGTACATTCTGTGGGTTTTAACACACGCATAATGACTCGTATCCACCATCACAGTACCTTACAGGATATTCTCCCACACCCAAACTGGCTGTGTGTCCTCTGTTCCACACCTCTCCCACTTCACTCACTCCTGGGGATTTCTGATCTTCCCATTTCTGTAGTTTTGCCTGCCCCGGAATGTCATAGAGGGAATCCCACAGTCTACAGCCTATTCAGTAAAGTGCATTTATAATTTCTCTGTCTTTTGTGGCTTCATGGCTCATTTCGTGTCAGCACTAAGTAATGGCCTGCCTGCTCAATGTATTGCAAAGCACTTATCTACTTACCTATTAAAGACGTCCAAGTGGCTTCTACTTTGGGCAATGGTGCCTAAAGCCTAGGGTAGACACATGCACACAGGATTTCATGTGGACATTAAATTTTCAACACCCTTGGATTAAGGCCTCAGACTGCTGGGTCAGGGGGTAAGACTATATTTAGTTTTGTAAGAAAGCAAGGAACTGTCTTGCTATGTGGCCAAACCACTTTGCTTTCTTGGCAGCAATGAGCAAGAGTTGCTATTGTTCCACACGCTCAGAAATATGGTGGTATTACCAGGTTGTTGCTTTCTTGTTTTGTTCTGGGTTTTTTAAAGCCATTCTAATATATGTAAACACTGCTATTGCTGAGCTATTTTAATTTGCAATTCCCTGATATCTATGGTGTGGAACATCTTTACACATGCTTATTTGCCACCTATATGTATATCCTCTTTGGTGAGGTATCTGGTCAGATTTGTCTTTGCAGGGTCTTCATAAGCTATATATCCAGTCTTTTTTGTTTTTTGTGTTGGTAAAAGGTAAAAATATCACTAAGTCATTTAGATAACCAGTCTGGGCTCAAACTCACAGTCCTCCTGCCGTAGCCTCCCAGACTAGGACTGTAAGCGTGTTCCACCACACCTGGCTAGTTCAGATCTTTTGTGCATTGTTTTTTGTTTTGCTCTGTTTTTCGTACTGCTGATCAAGCTCAGTCTTTCCCAGGGTTTGGCCAGGGTCTAATCCATTACTTCTCACTGCTTCATAGTTCCGTATCATGCCTTCCCTCTCCATTCTCAAACTTTGCCATCACAAACACTGCTACACGTCCTTGTACAGCTTCCTCCGGGGCTGGTATGAAAAGGCCGTGGTTGGTAAGCTCAGGAGAGGGATGGATGGCTTCAGAGACTTGTGGACTTCAGCTGGCCATGTGGCTTCAGACCATCTCCACAATGACACAGCACTGCAGCTGTCAGGCTGCACTAGAGCTCAGTGTTTACACCTTCTTGCCAACTCTAGACATCAACGAGAGGCATGATGTGACGTGTCATCGTGTTAATGTGTATTTCCCTGATCACTACTGAGTGTATTCTTTCTGCACACTGGGACTTTGGAGGATCCTCTGCTGTGAATTCCACCTATGGTCATGACCTGTTCTGCTAGGGCTGCTGCTTCACTGGGTTCCTTGGCTGCAGTTCTTGGTGTGTCCTGGACAGTCCATTCAGCCATTGCAGGAGCCTCATGCTTGGCCTGTTTCTTCATTTTATCCATGATGTTCTTCATTAGAGGGAAATACAGTGACTGCAGTATTGTCCAGAATTGTAGTTCTGGCTTGCTGTGGACAGCCTTTCATTTTCTTCAGCTTTTGTGTTTTGGTTTTCATTTTCATTTTACCATCATCCGCACATATCCCACCAGTGCACACAATCTCCCCCTTTTCCAGTCCAGCACAAGCTCCTCAGCAGTGCCCATGGCCTCTGCTTCCTATGGTGGCATTAGGACCCTGGGTGACTGGCTAATGTGGCACTGAGGCTCCCTGACTCATCGCGACTGTGCAGTGAGTACAAACCAAATGCTCAGTTGGACCTTCTAATCCCAGTCCTGCCTTAGCCTAAGTCCCTGGGTTTTGCTGTGATTCCGTGGCTGTTCTGGGGTCAGCTCACTGTTAGGGTTAAATTTTGTTTTTGGTTTTTAAGTCTTTAGAATTTTCCAGCAATACATTAAAAAGTGCATTTATTGTAATTTATCCAAGATCAAGCAGTAGTCTGGTGGGAGGGATTTTCGGAGTATCCACTCTGCTCACTGCAGAGGATAAAAACCATCCTGGCTTCTGTCCCCACCAAACACCCCAAGTGCTCTGGAGAAATGCGGTTTCCTCCCTGCCTTCCCAGTCATCCTCTCAGGAGCGTCTCACATGGTTGACAGCTCATCCTCATGTCCATCTCTCCTCTTGGTTCCTGCAACAGCTCGCTGCCCCCAGCTCCCTTGTCTCTGGCTGTGAATTCTGAGCATCCTCTCCTGTGACATTCTCCTCCAGACACAGAAGGTTGGAATTTCCCACAATTCTGTCCCCAGCTGGTGCCACCACCCAATGCACACCCTCCTCCCACACCATGGCTTCAGCTCCCTCTGTACACTGATCTTGGAAACCTGTCAGCACAGGCTGACCATCCAGGCCCATGCCTGCTCTCCTTGATCCTGAGACCCAGCCAGATGCATCTGTGCCTGAAACCCCACTGCCTTGCCTCCTGCCCCTCAGCATACCTGTCACAGTCTCCCACTGGGGACAGCTGACTGGATATGGAGTAATGGCCACTGGGGGGAGCAGAACTCTGGCCTTGAGCTTTTGCCCTCAGCTTGCTGGGAAAGGCCAAGCTGGCCAGGTATCCTCAGGCTCAGCCCCTTGGTCAGGCAGCCTCAGCTCCCCCCAGCTTCCCACTCACTCCAGATGCCTCCATGGCTGAGCTCAAGCCCCAACTTCTCTGAGTGTGCCTCTCTGGGATGTGGCTAGGAGGTGAAGATAACATCTGGGCAACTAATATGGCTCATTACCTGTGTCTGGGGCAGCTGCTGCAGGCATCTGAGCTTCTCCAGGGAAGCTTGTAGTATTGTTGTGGGATAAGAACCACATCCAAGGCACTGACCCCACTGAGCATTTGCACTTAATACATGGTCACTATGAGTTAGGGAGCCTCAGTGCCACACCAGCCAGGCACCTGGGTCCTAATGACACCATGGGAAGCAGGGGCCATGGACACTGCTGAGGAGCTTGTACTGGACTGGGGAAGGGAGAGACTGTGTTCACTGGCAGTGTAGTGGGTAGGTGTCCACACCAGGAATCCACACAGCAGAGACACAGTCAAATTGGAGGAAGGGAGAGGGTAGCCCCTGGGCTGGGGCAGGTGAGGGACTCACAGCTAAAGCACAGCAGATAGATGGTGGGGGTGGCAGATCACCAAGAACCTTCGGGCAGGACAGATGTGGTTCAGAGGTGAACAGAGAAGGTTCCACTTGGGCTGAGGAGTGGGAGTGGATGGAGCCCTAAGAGAGGCTGGCGCCTAGACCAGGCAACATGTGGGACCATCCAGGAATGCTAAGAATAGGAGAGGGTGGGGAGGGGCTGTGGAAGATGTCCTGGGCTCCCCCATACCCTCAGCTGCTGGTGTCTGGGCAGAGGGGAGAGCCCAGGCCACATGCACATATGGCTATATGCAGGGGTGTGGGCAGCCAGAGCCAGGTCAGGGTGCATCCTGTCAGCATTTAATAAAAGTAGAACTCAACAAGGACAGGGAAAGGATGGGCTGAGTAGCTGCTGAGCCCTGCTCTAGGCCACATAGTGGGACAGCTCCATGATATCTCCTGAGAAGCTCAGGTAGAACCTGCGGCACAAATCATCTGGGTCCTCCTGCAGGGCATCGAAATCTGCAGTGCAAAGCATGGTCTGACTGCATGGCCACGGAGCCGGGGGCGCCCTCAAGGAGCACAGCCTGTCCTCAGATTCCAGTGTGGCGGGGAGGCCCCCACCCTCGGCCTGAGGTACCCTGGGAGTGTTGGGAAGAGGCTGCCCCTTTTGGCCACTGGCCCAGCTTACACTTCTTGAGGGTTTTTGTGTCACTCTTCTTCAGGCGGAGGCAAAGGTCCAGAAAGTACTCCTGCAGCATGCCCCCTGGAAGTCAGGCGGGCCTGGCATCTCCTGCTACAGAGGATGCTGACCACAGGGTCGATTGCCCTCTCCTAAGGATGTAAGGTCGTCCCCTGTGCAGGCTAGGGAGGGGAGTGAGGAGGATGCAACAAGCAGGGGTAAGGTTGCCAGTGCAGTGCCTACCAATGAACTTCATGGCTGCCAGCTTCAGGTTCCTATGCCGGCTGCGCAGGTAGGTCAGGGCCTGCATGAGAAATTGGTGGTGGCTGCCAAAGTTGCTCTCCACCTAGGGAGGAGAGACCTCTGAAACATCCCTCCACCCAAGGCCCCCACTGGTAGCCCCAGCACCCCTTCCCCAGTGCCCAGGCCAGGAAGTGATGAGGGCAGTTACCGCAGGCGAGGCCCAGAGCCCTGCAGGCCCCACTTCTCTACTCACCTCCAACTCGGGATTGGGGGTGGCGGAGTCAAGCCATCCAGACCAGCAGAATCTGCAGCCGCTTCCTAACCTCACCCTGGACATCCTCCACTATCCCCCAGTCCACCCCAGCCCAGCTCCCATCCCACCCCAGTGTAGCACTGAGCCAGGGGCTGATGGAATGCAGGGAGTGTTGTCAGGTGACGGCAGAGGTCTGCAGGAGTGACAGGTGTGGTAAGGTGGGTGGACACCTCCAGGAGAGGAACCCTGGGGATGAAGCCAGCTCAGATAGGGTGGAGTCAGGGTGCTTCATCTAGAGCAGTGTCTCCCAGGCCTTTCCCTTATGTAGATCAGTTTATTATCTGAGCCTGTTTGAACTGTCTTCTTTGCCACTAGTATGACAAAGAACCCTAATAAATCTAGCACCCTGGCGCTTGGCCCCAGGCTACCCCTCAGACCCTGGGGCCATCTCAGTGCTGTCATGCTGCCCTGACCGCCGACATGGCTGGATATTAACTTTTAGCCATCTCTGCCCAGCCCAGACACACCGATGGGCACCCACCATCCACCTAACACAGAGCTGTCTAGATTGTGGCCCCTCCACCTGAGCTCTGTGGGGATAGACCCCGGGCAGTCTGGACTTCCACAGCTAGCCACACCTGGGACTGTGATATCCTCCCTGCAAACCCAGGTCCTTCTCAATTCGGTCCACCTTCAACATACAAGGGCACCTCAGTCATCAGCAGACCTGAGGGCACTGTGCGTTCCAGGTAAAGTTTGACCACCACCAAACCATGCTGATGTTTTCCAGAGAAGCCTGAACTCAGGCTGCAGAAGTTGACCCTGTCTTGGAGTGGGAAAAAAATTAGGAAGGGCCTGGAACATTCTAATGTTGCCAGAAAGAAGAGTGCTTCCTAAAATGTCCAGGGCAATAGTCAAAAGGAAAAAGGTTGCAGGGAAAGGGGTATCTGTCTCCCTAGATGGAATGGCTCCAGAGTGGAAGCCACAAAGCTGCTGATGGCAACAGCAATCCCCAAAATAAACTCAGTCTGCCATTGGCCACAAGGGTAGAGTTGCATCCAAAAATGGACAAGTTGAATTCCTGACCCCCAGTATTTCAGAATGTGACCACATTCAGAGACAGGTCTTACAGAGCTGATCAAAGTAAAATGACATCCTTGGGAAGGGCCCTGATTCAATATGACCGGTGTTTTCATAAAAGGGGTAAGTGTGACACAATGACAGACACACAGAAAGGGAGAACACCTCACAGTGGAACTATGGCAGCAACAGCCCAGGGGCTGTGGAAGCCAGGGAAGAGGCTTGGGCAGATTCCCAGTGGACAGGCATTCCTGATGCTGGGAGAAGAATGTGGGTGTCCCCCTGTTCAGCCTACTGTGGTGCTCTGCTTAAGTGCCCTAGCAGGTGATGCAGGCCATAGACAAGGGCATCATGATGAAAACAGAAAGGAGGCACCAACCAACAGGAAGGGAAGCTGCAATTCACCACATGCAATGTTCTTCTGGTATGACAAACTGGGGAAGCCTGTAACTAACTATGGGTATTTTGTTTCTGTACTTAGGATTATAAAAAACAAGGTGCTCATGTAAGCTGGCTCCATATGGTTGTGCAATCAGGGCTATGACAACCCCGGACAGGGTTGGAGAGGACTGTGGGACAAAAGGGAAAACAGCCTATGGCATGGGGCAGTCCTGTATCCCCACCCAGCAACTGGCAGGAGAGGCTTAATCTCAGGACCCCATGTAGTGAGAGGCAGAGAGCCATGACCTACATGGAATTTAGTTATCACAAGGTGGCAGCCTCGAGGAGGAGTGTCCCCACCTTGCAGACCACCTTTGAGTACACCAGGACACAGAGAAGCCAAGATTTCTGAGCAGGAAAGTCTGCTGGGGAAAGCAAAGGTCACTGCAGCCAGGCCCAGAGGTCAACAACCCTGTGCCCTGGTGATGGGAAGGGTGCTGCCAGGCAGCTGTTTCCTCTGGGGTCTAATAAAACCATAGCCTATCTTGCAGAGTTGGAAATGCCCTAAAGGCTGAGCATGGAAGGAAGAGCGACAGGAAAAGGAGGAAGAGGGAGATCAGATGCAAGATCAAGGGACCTGAAGACACCTAACCTTGTCTGCAGTGTTGGAAATGCCTAGAAAATCTGATACTTGAAAGCAGTATTTTAATTAAGTACTCAGAGATGTGTCAATAAGATATGTCATCAATAAGTTCAGGGAAATTCTGTTAATAAGTTTTAACATATGGGTCACTCAGTAATTGGCAAATGTAATGTTAACAATGTTGATTTTTAATGCTTTAAGAAGACATTTTGATGAATCAATAAGATTAATAAGCTGGATGTTAAATAAAACACATGTGGTAATGCATATTTCTTCTCCATGCAAAGAAATATCTCCAAGATGAAAGAATCTATTAACAACAAATTTCTCTTTAACTGCTTGGCTAAACTAGCTCAAAAGAAGAGGAATCCTTAAGGGCAGAATTCAGCAGGAATACAACCAGCACTCGCAGTCCCAGAACTGAAGCTCTGGCCACCCTGAGTATGAGGCTGTTTCCCCACGTGGAGGCTGGAGTCAACTCTGCCTCCCATGGTGAAATCAGCCCTAAGGCCCGAGAGCAAAGAAGAGGAGGGGCCTTGGGAGCAGACTTGGAAGACCCCAAAGTCAGGCCCCATATAGGTCATTTTCAGCTTAGCTGGGAAAAGAACAATTTTCTAAGGCATGACACCTATGGGTGAAGGCCACATGAGGATTAGAATTGGAATTTACAGGGCCTGCATTCCAGGGGGACCCAGGCACCTAACCGCAAATTCATCCCATGTCAGTAGCAACCACAGAGATGCATGAGTGCAAGACCCAAGATCCCCAGGAAAGGTTGAGCCATGCATAGGACAAGGGTTGAGAAGATGAGGGAAAGTCAGCAAGGGTAAGAATTTGAGCACAGGGATTCAGTGAGATCAGCCACTGAGCAGACAATGGCTACTTTCTTAAATGGTCACATTTGTGGGAAAAGGAACTCAGAGGACAAAAGCAAGACCCTTGAAGGGAGCAAGTGCCTTGAAAACACCAGAGTGGATGTTTCAAGACCAAGTCAGAGATAGGGGAAGACAACTTCAGGAATGGAAGACAAACCTGGAAACAAGACAAACCCAAATTGCAGCATCAAGAGGCAAAGAAGATGAAAACAAGAAATTGAGGGTAAGTTGTGAGAACTATAACAGAATGAGGTCAAACACACTTCTAAGGTATAGACCCTTGTGCCCACTGCCAATATATATATATATATTTTTTTGTCTTTCAGCTTCAAATTCACCCATTTTCCCTGCTCTATGAACATAGATCTGGGTTGTCTATCCACCCTTTCATAGCTGGCCTTGCAGGTCCAGGGGTGTTGGGGATCAGGCTACATGACTTGGATCCTGTGGGAGCCAAGGCCAATGTAACTTGCTTTAGGAACAGAGAAGTTAGTGGAAAACCATAGGACTCCAAGGGCAAGATGACATCTACTGAAGACAGTATAGAGTGCAGGCATCTGGGTATACGGAAGGACATATTTACCATTAACTTGTTCCCCATTTAGTAGTAACACATTTACTGGCCTTGCTGTTCCATGAAAAGCACACTACCCCTAACCCTTGCTTCTTGCTTGTTAATAAAAGTGGGTCAACTGGAGATTACTGAGCTTGTCCACTAGAGGCAGGATCCTCCCCGTCCTCTTGTACCTTGAATATTGTCTCCGTCTCTCTATTCCCCATTGTTCCCCCCTACAAGTATCTGAGGGTCTGATCAGCCCTTAGCACAGGAGGCAGCAATGCACGGGGCAGGGCTTCCATCTAGGTCTCCAGAATCAGCTCTTGCAGCCCTGCAGTAGTAGCTGCCTCCAGATGGCCAGGACAATCTTGTAGCCTATGCTCTGTGTGACATAGCCTAGGAGAGGCTTTTCCTCACATTTCTGGATGGGTTCTTCCTGGGTGCCCATCTCAGGGGATGGTAATTACTTATATATGTTATACATGCCTCTGTGTGAGTGCTATTTAAGGTTCTTGCCGCCTTGTACTGTAACTCATTTCCACCTGCAGATCATGTCTTTTTCCATGAAGCTTTCCCTGCTCAAGTGAATTTGCCTGCCTATCTCCTAGGTGGGCTCTGATGGACACCAAACACTTAAAAATCAGAAATGAGGTGCTTGGACTCCCTCCCAAAGTCCATGCCTCTGTTGTCAGCATTACCAACTATGTGATGACAGGTGGCACCACTGCACACATGGGTAAGCAGCATCCCTTCCCACAGGCAAGGAGCTCAGCACCACATTCAACACAGAGGCCCCTCTAGGACCTGCTGGATGAGGTAGTATCACAGGGAACAGGGAGAAGGTTTTTAACAAGACCCCAAAACATAAACTGCAGAGAGAAGTACATCCCATTACACAATACTGAACTTGAAAACTTCTGCACAACCAGAGACACCATCAGCAAAGCAAATGCACAAGTCACTGACTGCAAAAACAAGTTCAACACAAATAACCAGCCCAGGATTCAGCCCTGAGGGTAGATCTACCTGCATGAGGAACCCACACACATTTCCAAGCCAAAGACAACCCTGCAAAGAACAGGGAAGAATCTGATAGGGCGACGGTTGCTGGAAGCCTGGTCTGTTTGCTGCTTGTGAGCTCAACCCTCAAGGCTGTGCTAAACCCCAGGAAAGGAAACCTCCATCCTTTTCTGGGACCAGCTGGCTCTGTCCCCTGCAGGAAGCTTCCCGGACTGTTCCGGTCCCTGGTGATTTGGCTTTTTCCATCCTCCAACTGTCCACAGCGTCTAAATGTGGCCTGCCAGGGACTGCTGGGGCCACTCTGGCTGGCACTCCCAGGAGACTTTTCACTGGTTTTCCCCTCCGTACATGTTTTCCTCCCTCCATATTCAAGCAGGAAGTGGCTCTGTCCTTCATCACCCTGGAAGAAGGAGGTGGCCAGGACAAAATATAGTAGCAAATCTTCCTGTTTTTCTGGTCCCCCAGTTCCCAGCCCTGGGGGTATAGGACTTTGAAGTACAGAATGGAAAAGGAACCCTCCAAGGCTGGAATTGATAGAAGGGAGGCTAGTGGCTATGGAGGCCTGTGGGCTAAGAGGATACTTCGCCCTCCTTCACTAAAACACCAACAGGACCACCTGTTCACCCCTACCCCAGCCCTCCTCAGGGGATGGGGTGACTGTACACGTCCGTCTCCTCCTCCTTGTCCCCAGCCCTTCTCCCAGAGGGTGCCCACATCTTACCATGTACATAAATATATTATACTCAGCTCCCAGGCCTTGGCCCCATGTCAACTTGCTGAATAGCTCCTTCTGGAATTCCCACTTCAGCAAGATGGCGCAGCGAAAGAAAGTGAACTTGGTCCTCTGTGGGTGCAGAACAGATGGGTCACTCAGAGTGTCCCCAGCCTCCACCCCATCCTCATGTCCCTCAGTGGCAGACCCCAAGGGGGAAGGGATACTCCCACAGGACACTTGGGAGTCCTGGCTATGCTATCTGCTTGCCCAGGAAGGGAGAACCAACAAATTGTCTCCATCCTAAGCTCCACTGAGCCCGCACAAAGCTTACAGAGAGGCCAGTGGTCACCATGGCTGCCCAGGCCTCCTACCTGAGGCCAAGAAGGAGGTGGTGCCACCCAAGGAGTCTGCTCCCCCCGCACCTCAGAGAAAAGAATTATACTAAGTCCAGGAAAGGGGCTTAACTTCCCACAATGGACATGGAGCCTGAGTGCGTTATTTGGTTATTAAATGTGAGGCCTAGAAAGGGTGGAGAAGCCCTGGGGTGGGACAAGGGCTACAGGGTACAGTGGTACAGGTCTGAACAGAGCAGGCACCCAGGGAATGCAGAAGTGCCTGGCCTGCAGGTAAAGAGTAGAGGCAGATCAGGTGTCCAGGGAAAAGAAGCGGGTGCTACGCCAGAAGTGAAAGGGGTGTTACAGGAGGTCACAGACACTACACAAAGGCAGGACCCATAAAACCTGGGGGTCAAGTAATGAGACTGAGGGCTCTTGGTGCCCTTGCACAGGACATGGTCTGGCCCACTGGTCATGGAAGGGGAAAACAGAGGCAGAAGATTGTGGAGGCTAGGCTCCCAAGGCTAGTTTTAGATGCAGGGAGGAAAAGGTTTCTGCAGCCAGTGGAGGTGCCCAAGTCCCTGGGCCAACAGGGCAGCAAGAGTGGAAAAGCTGAAGGCAGGTGGCCAAAGAACTACCATGGAAATGTGGTTTTTTTCTTTTCTCCATCCACAGATTCACCTTCAAGATGAGGCCCAACCTGACCTGTTTTACCCAGCCTAGCTCTGGTCTCCACTCATAGATCTGGATCCACCCACAGCCTGACCTCACTGGCCACCCTGGCCTGGGAAGCCTGCTCACCATGACCACCTCCTGGCAGGAGTCAGCCAGGTGGACGAGCAGAGGAACCAGGGCCTGGAAGGCCAAGTTCTTGAGCAGCTGCTGGAACTTCCTGCCACGGCTGTGGATGACATCCCCAAACAGGAAGATGGCATTTCCACGCACCTCTGCCCTCTCCTAGGGGACAGGAGTAGGCCTTCTGCTCGGGCAGGCAGCACACCAGATCCCTTCAAGCCCTCTAGCTCTGCCTGTGTCTTGCTATGGCCAACACCTGCCTCATTTTGGCCACGGGGCAGTAAGGGCCAGCTGACATTGCCCTAACCCCACTAATCAGCAGCCCCTGGGCACCTGAACCCAACTCATTCCCTTGTCTCCAACTGCCCTGTCCCTGCACTCTCTCCGTGGTCCTCCTGCTCTGCTTGCCACACCTCCTTCAATCTCCAGCAGCTTTCTCCTGCATTTGCTCTGTTTGGTTGCTCCATAGCTCCTCAGGCAGACCTTGGTGCTAGATCTGTCACTTTCTGGCTCTGTGACCATAGCAAGTTCTCTTCTTTTTGTGACTGAGTTTCATTGTATGTAAATAGAAGGTAGTAACCTGCCTTTGTCCATGAGATGAGGTAAGGGTTGAGTCCAGCACCTGCATTGGTATGCCCTACTGGCATCCTCGGTGGCACTGATGGCCACCTCTTCAGTCTTTACCCAGCCCCCTCCCCTACATGAAAGGCCCAGCTCTGTGCAGCCCTAGCCAGATTCCTGCTGCCGCCCCCTCCTCGCCTACAGGAACCGCAGCTCCCCCTCACCCCAACTCCCCAGCTAACCGGCATCGTCCAGTCAGCTTCCGGAGTCTGGCATCCCCTCTTCCTGCTTCTGCCCCGGTACCGTTTAAATCCTGCTTGCTGCGGACCTCCCTACCTTACCACACCCCTGAAACCACAGGCTCCGCCCAGGCGGCTCCCCTTCCCAGCCATTCTCCCAACGCTGCCTCGGGGTCTTTCTAAACACGAACCCGCGTCTCTCTTCTCTGTCCTTACCACAGCCCCCAGCTCACTTCCCAGGTGGAGGACTTGGGCTCCACTGTCTCTTGGGGTGGGCAGTGAGCGCGATTTTTAAACGGAGCCACCACTAGGGCAGGGCGGCGTTCACCCCGCCTTAAAGATCAGCCAATGAGAGAGCGCTCCGCGACTCGGGCGGAACCTCCCATCTACTAGGGGGTTCTCCGCCGGGCTCCGCCGCGGGACAACTGTACCCGCAAGCCCACCACAGAACGGTGACGTCCTCTGATTGGTGGGCTCGAGAGAGGCTGCGTACAGTCCCGGCGGGCAAGGGCTGCAGAGCTGCAGGGTCGCAGGTTTCCTGGAGACCCCTAC